TTTGTTCTATGTGGATAATACACACTATCAACACTCTTTTATTATTATTATTATTATTATTATTATTATTATTATTATTATTGTTATTATTATTATTATTATTTTATAAAATAAAAATTTTGTTTTGATTTATCTCCTTTGAAATGATCCACTAAGAGTTGAGAAAAAAATATCTCAATTACAGGGACATGTGTCTCATTCTAGGTAGGAATAAGTCCCAAACATTCTAAGAGGAGGAATAGGTCTCTCCCTATTATTTTGGAGCTCTCTAACTTACCATGCAACGTTCAAAATGGGAGTCTTTATAAATAGAGCTCCGAGAAGTGGTGTACATACACATGCTATCAATATTAGCCTATTGAGAAAATCTCTTTGCTAGCTGTTCTCCTCTTCTATATATCTACAAGAAAAAATCGGGTGTAAAACACTCCACCTGGGTTGTTGAAGAAGCTTGAGCCCTGTTTTCAAGCTTGACAAAGTTCCTAGATTTCTATCATCTACAATCATCAAGTTAAAAGTTCAATCGGGGCCGAATCATATTAAAAATTAAAGCTAAAATAAGCATTTTTCCCACAAAAATAATTTGGGTGGGAGGGGGAGATCATGTAGATCTCAAAAAGTTGGCCAAAATAATAATAAAAAAAAAGGGACCACTCCAATTGGGCATCCTTGTGCAAAGTAATGGCTAGAGATATAAATCGGACAGACTGAACTGAGTTTTAGCTCAAACTAAGAATTGGGCCTAAAACCCGAGGCCAAGCCTTAACTCGTACTAAAATTTGATGCATTTGGGTTAGATTCATACTTGGGCAGGTTAATACTAAAATTAGTATGCATTGGACGTAAGCACATAATTTGGCTAAATCACAAGTTGACAACCTCAAGTTGATACTCATCTCCAAATAATAATCGAGGATAAAATTCAGATGCATCTCCAAAGTAAAGAGAATGTTTATAATCTTTTCATCACATAGATAATTAAGAAAGGCCCTTATTGTTACAATCTTAGATTAGATAAAGCAAGGGTGCATGTTGGGTCGGTCAAGTATAAAGCCAACCTATAATATCTGGACCTTTGACCCAAGTCTGCTCCAATCCGATGTCAAAGCATGAGTAGCCAGCCTAAGCCTAGCCCAAGTTAGACCAAACACAATTTTTAATTATAACTGTTTTAACTAGAAACAGTCTCAATCAAACAGAAAATTCACATTTGGCACTGATGTCGCAGCGTTTCAAGTAGAAATAGAATCAGTATTATTGGATATTTCTTTTTGGCATATGGGCTGGGCCCATATATTAGTTGACCCATCTCATTCTAAACCACTTTTCCAACCTAGTTGTATATGGATCAGTATTGTAAAACTTGGACTGGACCATATGGTTTAATTGATGACCCAATGACCTTTCTGGCTCCTAGTTAAATGACGGTTTTCATGGTTTGAACAAACTAACCATCCAGTTAACCAGTGGAGCTATGACCCATAAGCATTCATGGGTTGAATGGACCAACCATGGTGGAATGGCCCTTCCCTCCCCCTCTCTTGGGAATGGAATCCCATTCCAGCTGATTCCAACTCACATTCTCATTCCTGTTTGAACCAGACTATGGAAATAGACCATTCTGATTCCAATTCTAACTGCAAATCAAATGCACCCTTATTGTTCTTATTGGAACCCATGTAACAAAGACAAGTGATTGAAGCATGGTGCACTAGGGCTTTCGATCTAAATATCTACCTTCAACTTTTCATACTTGTAGTTTATATTAATGTTTTCAATTTGCAGTTGAAGTAGATAGTCAAATTGATTGACCTGTCATCCATACAAATTTTTTAGTATGATTCGACCCGTCACTTTGTTGTGAAAAAAAAAAAATCATTGACTTTGCTAACAACCAATACTGCTAATTTATTTGGTTATTAGGTAAAGAGGCCATTGGTAAGTCATTAATTCTTTTTTTTTTTTTGTATTTTATCCATTTCATTATTATTAATAATAAATTTCATTTTTCAGACATACTTTTGTTTAATATGATTAATATACACTATTAATGGCATGCTCAAAATTTCAGAAAAATTTATAAAAATTCTATATTATTTTATTTTTTATTATCTAATATATGCCATCACAATTAATATATACTATTAATGGCATGCTCAAAAACCAATTTTTTATTATCTATGACATGATGGATTGACCCATTTGACATGAATGGTTGAACCACTTGTCTTCATGATAAGAAAATGGTTTTATTGTAGGGCCAACTTTAAATTTTGTATTACATTTCTACCATTAATAATTTATGATAATTATTTTTGTCCAATATGAAGAATATATAATATTAGGGATGTGCCCAAAATTTTCTCTATTGCTTTGTTTTTATTTTATCAAATTTTAAATTTTTATTGTTTAATTATAGCACCATGGTTTGATCCATTTGACCTAATGATTAAACCACTTACCCTCCACCTAGACAATATAAGGTCAAATATTAAATTATAAGTTTTTTATGTTATTAAAAATTTAAAATTATCGTGTATGAATTTACCAGTGGAACTTAATGATGAAAAAAAAAGCCTTAAATATATAATTGATTAGAGAGAATAGGAACTAATTCCTTAAATATGACACTTGATGAACTAAAAATTAGTATTCAAATTACACCTTCTACYCTAACAATATAATAGAGAGGGACTAAATTCAAGAAGAGGGGAATAATCAAGATAAAGTCTATATGAGAGAGTATAGTGTGGCTTATCGGGTTTTGAATATATATATTGTTTGCATCGAAGCTGGGATACTTCCTTGACCCCTCAGCTTGAGGGTAACCAGTTTTGCTACTACATGCATGGTTAGCTCTATTTTGAAGGGGGCCATTAGCGAGAATCACGCTACAGCTTCATGACAAGGCATCGCCTGGTTGTTAATTTAATTGTTCTCATCATAAGGATACATAACAATGTGACTAAATTATTCTCTTGTTTGTAACTCATCTCATTTTATTTCATCTTAACCTAATCAACCTCTTGATAACCTCTATGTAATCTTTCTAATGCCTATTCTATGTAAGAGAGAGAGTACTTCTCTCTCCATATTAATATTTACAAGGCAAATTCAATAGTCGTATTTTGTCATTCATTATTCATCAAGTTTTAATTCGTGTGTTATGAAAGAATGACATCCCCATTGGGCTTCAAATCAAGGTTTTTAAATCCGATTCGGACAATGAACCGATCAGGGGTCTGGTTTCCGGGTCGAATGGTTCAACTGTTCGAATCAAATGGTCGGCCCRCTCTGATAAAAAAAATAAAAAATAAAAAATAATCAAAACTGTTGAACGGTTCAACCGCATAGGTCAGCAGTTTACTGACCAAATCAATGTTTTTTGGCAAAAATCCAGTTTTGAAGAAAAATAGAACCAATTACCTAATCGGTTTCTGGTTTTTCTGATCCAACCGTCTAACCCGGTCCGGTTTTAAAAACCATGCTTCACATTATATTTTCTGTGACGGATCGAGGCACAATTAATTCTGATTTTAGCTCTTATATATGGTGTAATGTGTTTTACTAACAACAGTGCTCAATTTGTTCATTTGTTGGGTCTAGTACAAGTATCTTCTCGTGAATAATTAATGGAGATCTTTTGCTAAACAGAAACAGTGAGGAAATGTTGTTATTTTTTTTTTATGTTCTGTCAGTTATTTTGGCTTTGAAGTCAGAAGTTCAAGACTTTCCTGCTGGAAAACTTTGGTGTCTATCATACGATTAAGTTTAAGTTATGACTCCTCTCAGCAGTTGGGCCCTTAGACTTTATACATATAAATATATCCGTAAATTAAATGTACCTTCTCCTTCTCCAACATATTATTCTTGATATTATCATTGAGAGATATTCTCAATACGCTGCGGAGATGTGCTGTAGGACGTTGTGAGGGCAGTCTTATATTTTTTATTCACTTTTCCTATCCACTCCCTATCCGCCGTGAGCCGCACATCTTTTATGACTGCAATTCAGGACGGATAGGAAAAAGTGAGTAGGAAATCTGAGCGAGGGCTGATTTGAACTCCCTTTTTGGTTGAAAGAACACAGTTGTATATCAACTTCTGAAGCAAAAAGAAAAAAAAAAAAAAAAACCTAGGCTTAGCTCGGATACATTCACAACTGTAGGCTTAGGTCTAGGTCCAGCGCCCGAGTTTCAGTGTAGCTTTTGGTTCTCAAATGTCAACCGTATGCCCTTCAAGCGTGAGGGGTACAAATTCTGATTCCAGGCTACCAGCTTACTTAGCCTACAGACTGGATAATGTCCTCAACTATAACGACTCTTCTTCTGGTATCAAGTGAGAAAGGATTGCTTTCTTTGGTAAGGACACAGAAATGAAAACATCCCCTAATGGGTGAAACCTACAGCTGAGCAGCTATCAGATATCTACTGCTGCCAAAAGACGCAGAACATCTCCACCTATGATCTACTGCTGCTAAAAGACGCAGAACATCTCCCAAGGCAGAGCAAAGAAAGAGTAGGAAAACATCCAAATGGCAAAAATATCAAAACAAGCAAGTACTTGGAATTTGTAAAACAGAAAAATAGACAGATGGAGATAGAAAAAGATAGATTGATTTGATTTGATGAAAACTCCCCAGAACCCCTTCTTTCTTCTCAAACTGATCCAGTTCCAGTTGGAGCATTCAAGTTCAAGCTGAGTTTAACCATGCGAGTCCTAACCATGTTCATTGCTTACTGGCTCCAAATTAAATTCTGGATATTCGAGCCAAATGAGTTATATCCCGTGACTGTCACCGGTGCGGTGGTTCATTTGAATCATTTCTCTTCTTCTGTTGCCCTCTATAATCAATCATCTGATCAATGAGACAGAAAGAAAAACCAAGGAAAGGGCCAGAGCCCAGAGGGAAACATTGCATGAGTACGGTGGGCTTATGACACGTGTCCGAAATAATTTTGATGATCGGAAATAAGAGAAGTCAGAAGACCCCACTTTGTAGCTCAGAACAAAGTGCTGCATTAACAACACAACAATAATACATATATTCCATCCACACTTCAAACAAGTGAACAACCCTAAAAGGTTAAAACTAGCTAAGACAGATACTTTTTTTCCTTGTATTTTTATTCTAGCTATAGCCCATAGCCCATAGGTAGGCTTTTTTCGGACAAACACACTGGTTTATTATAGCAACTCCCTATTGATTTTTATCTTAGATTGTAGCAGTAGGTCTTCATTTCTGGTCTGCTTCATTCAACGTCTTCTTGCAGCTGTTTCCCTTTGGGCATTGAAGAAAACAGCAGCCACAGGAAGCCCAAGATTGTTCTCCTCCGCAAACTTTCTGGTTCTGAAATGGTCCCTTGAAGAAGGTGGAGTGACTGTCTGTCTACCTTTCTGTTTGAAGAGAACAAAAACATACCTATGGATTCCTATGTAAGGCTTTGGAATCTCGTAGCCCACCAATTCTCTTCCTGTTTATTTTATCTAAATTATAAGTCATTTCATTTCATCTCTCTCTCTTTCTCTCTCTCAAACACAGACTAACAAACATAATGAAAAGAAACTTACCAAAGGTAGCATCAGTTGTTCCTGGGATGTCCGTCACTATCCTGTAGTTAAGATTGTCAATGCATGGTGAAATTGTAATCTTTGGATAAGAACCTACTAATAAATATACTTTCTTTTTCTAGTAAAGCCCATTGATCTACAATGAACTATGTGTACGCAAACTTAAGGGTACTCCTTGTAATCCACACACCCATTAGGATCATCAGGAGCATACAGATCCTTAAGAGGATTGTCGCCCTCTTTCTGCTTGTATACTAGCATTAATACATATAGTTATGTTATGCGTGAATGTATGTATATAGTATATACATCTCTGTGTGGGTGTGTGGGAGATAAGAAGAATTAATGCATGCATCATGACTTGGATGCCAAGCATATGTAGCAGCAATACATGTATGATCCAGGACCATAATCATATGAACTGATCCTAAACCCTAATGGCAATGAGACAATAAGCTCAAACACTTTCTGTTGGCTGTTGCATGCAGTGCTGCAGTTGGTATTGGTAGTTCATACTATTTTGATCTTTGCGTTTTATATTTCTTAGTTCTGTGGTGGAAGGAGTGCTTTAGGGTATACCAGTGGAGGTGCTCTCTCAGATATGGGTCACTAGGGCCTGGAGCATCTGGGTCTGTCATAACCTGCAATATAGAAATTGTATTTGTTTAAGACAATTTGCAGAAAAGAATGTTAGAGCATTAGAGTATTAGATTGATCAATTTGTATACGACAGACAAAAATGAAGAATAAAGAAGAGGAAATGAAGTAGGGTACGGATGTGAAGTAGTACCACTGTAAAGAAAGATCTCATATCACCTCCATGAACTTCAACCCTAGGTTTAGTGGTTATTGAGGAAGGGTAGAACTCATGGCCATTGCAGACTTGCTTGTTGGAATTGTAAGTCACAGTCATCTTTACTGTTGGAGAGAAGGAATCAAGAACATCTCCAATCACTCTCCCAACAATGAGAGGCTCTAACATTCTTGCATTGTTTGCCATGAGAGAGAGAGATAGAGAGAGAGAGAGAGAGATGGGAATTGGGAATTTGATAAGCAATATGTTTTCTTTATGGCCTGTTACTGGGCATGGAAGTTGAAGCCTTATTTATAGTGTTGAGAAAGCAACTCCAATTTACTTCAGACTTATAGAAGCTTGTCATACTTGAATAAAAAATATATATATAGAATCTGGGCTATCAAGAAAAAGCTCTGCCTTTAGATTTTCTCCAGAAGTGTGTCAATAATGCAACATCAACCTCAACCCCCCCTGGCAGGGCATTCTGGTTAGGTCCAAAGGAGAGAGAGAGAGAGGGAGTAAATTTTGGGTAAATGATCAGTAGTGATGAACACGGTAGGAATCACACAGCTGCTGATTCATCATTGCTTACTCTCGAAATGCAGCAAATGGATGGATGGATTTTATATTTTTGATCCACCAATGCGAACAGAAAGGTGAAATGCTGCGTGTGGATCCCCATTAAGCCAAGTTGACAGTTTTTGCTCTTTCCTTAGTTAAAGACGCAACCAGAGAAAAATATTTCTAGATCCATTGGAACACTAGTAATGTGGGGAAGACATTTTTCTTTTTCGTTCAAGGTAAAAGARTACAACTTATTGAACTTTCCTCAAGGACTTCAACGACATACAGCGAGGAATTTGGAAATTTATTTGATGAAAGATTYTCTAAGCAGAGGGTGGAGGCATAAAGGGCCAAGTGTTRGTGCTCTGATGTCATTTCAAWGGTAAAGAGATTCAGGAGAGTTTCTGAAATGGTGAAAGAACAAGTGGGTTTCTGTTAATAGAAACTAAAGTGTTACCATTAACAGAAACAAAAGTGGCACTCTTGTTATTATAATTCTGAATGCATGAAGCCATGAATTCGACCACCCCTTTTCTCAACCATTAAGTTGTACAGTTTCTCTGTTCTATTAATTTTTAATTTCTGCTTTTAATAGAAAATGGAGGATAGACAGCTATAGCTTTCTATATATAACTCGAACAACGTTTGAACCCACAGCTCAATGGTTTCATCTGGGAAATCTCCTACATCATAAGTAAAGCAAAGAAAAGGAATTCACATGACCAAATGATCTAACCATTCATTTTCTCTTATAAAATCTATGTATTTAATTAATTAATTCAAAATTTTAACTAGCATTTTGGATTAAAAAGGTCTTCTAGATGGTTGTAGAGGCTTGCTTCAGCCATTTTTAGCCACATGGAAGCCACGATCGATGTGACCAATAAAACCCTTTCATCAGATCACTTAGCTCAAAGGTCATGAAGCGACTTGCCAATAAGGGTGTTAATGGACCGGTTTTGGATTGGACCCTGTCCAGTCCAAAATCAATTTGTATGGATTGGACGGATTAATAAGACATTGGATTGGATCAATCCTGTTCAAAATATTTATTAGATTGGATTGGACCAGGTCCATCCATAACAAATTTATATTGGATTGGGTTGGATTAAGCCAATATCTAGTCCATTGATATAAGATAAGAATATATGTATCAATGGACTGGGTTTGGGTTGAAACCAATCTAAATCAAAATGAATTTGAACAGATTGGACGGTCTAGACATTAAATTGGACCACTCCAAATTGGTCCAAAATATTCATTGGATTGAATTCGACCTGGTCCATTTATAATGGACTCACATTGGACTGGATCGGATTGGACCAAATCCAGTCCAATTGACACCCCTGCTTTGCAAGAAACTGACACAAACCTCTAGTTTCATGTAAATTCCAATTATGTTTCTTCTCTATATATTCTTTGTTCATAGGACAGGTTTTATCCTGGTAACTTCTACCCGGAACCTAAACGGAATTGACCTTAACCGCCCTTGAATTGATCATATCTAATCTATTATTGAGTAGGGTCTGATTTCCAAATTTTTGAAATTGGCCTTCACCGTAGCTTCTGGTTCTAAGGTCTAGGGGTTTACCCTACCTGAATTGATTTAGAGAACTAGCCTTAGTTTTCCTTAGTGGAACCAGTTTTGTAAAAGTTAATATTTACAAAATTTAAATTATAATGATAAGTTTGAATCATATTATTATTATTATTGAAAATCAAGTTTTTAAAAAATATGTTTCATTTTTTGGGGGGAGGGGGTGTGGGGGTAAAGAATGAACGAATTCCACAAGTAGACCTCGAAACCGTCAAAGCCAAAACCGACCCTATAACCAATCTTAATAGGGTAGGTTCGAATTCCAAAAACATGTTTTGCCTTAGAACTTAACCAAATAACCAACCCATTCTCMCTCCTAATTACAGACACCAAAGCATTGTCCAATGTCCAATATATATACTTAGAGGATGTATGTAGATGGTTGAGTTCACTTTTGTTCCTTCCATGTATAGGCCTTAATATAATATTGTTGGTTGTCTTCATCAATAGGGTACATGGAATGATACTTGGGTCCTTGAAGAAGTGAAGGGTTTGTTCATGTGTCAAAATAAAGAAAAGATAGGTTCATGACAAGACAGGTCTCACGGTATGTTTTGTTTTCCAATGTATATTATAGGTTGATAAGAGTAAATATTGTCTAAATGCTTAAGAATGAAGAGATGTTTCACAATCAAAATGCTTCATCAAGTTGCATTACATTTTAGTGATAGGTAAATAAGAAACAATATATTAAAAGATAAATAGAGCTAAGATGGATGAATTATAAGAGCAGGAAGAAAATAATTAGAAATGAGTTTATAAGATGCTCTTAAGAGCAAGGTTCTATATATATATATATATATATTATTTTAGTTTTTTTAATTTATAAGAGGGCTTTTTTGTGCCATTAAATTAAAAGTTTCTTAAAAACACTATGAAATGGGTGTATTGGCATTTAAAATCCTTATATCATATCGAAATTTTGAACCTTGYATAAGAGTAACTCTAAAGATAGTGACAAGAAAAAAAGTTTGATTGAAATGGTTTTTTCAAGTGCATAAACAATAATTAATGATTGCACCAATAAGAAGGTATGACTTGGGGATAGAAGGATCTAAAAGAACAAAGGAATTGAAAGGCCAAAGAAAACTTGGCCTGAAGTGGTAATTAAGAAATTATCTAAAGACTAACAATTTGATAGAATACAAAGCATTTGATATTGCATAGTGATGGAAGGAGATAGAACTCAAAAATGGACGTGGACTGGCCGATTGCTTCCTATGAAAATATTCTTTGGTATTGTGTTGCATCCATTGCAATATTAAATAATATGTGATGATAACTAACTTGATGGACAACTTTTCAACGCTTGTCTTCTCTTACAATAGAGAGCCTAACTCCAACAGCTTTATGGAAATATAGATTTTCCATGCATCTTGTTTGGTAATAAGGCTGTTCATCAAACCGATGAAACGGACTAAATTGACCTAATGTGACTTGTGTTGGTTGGCTTTCTAATTTCAATAGTTTTCTGTTTAGTTTTTATGCTAATCTGAGAGGTTGGGTCGGTTTTGGTTTGATCATTTGTAAATTGATGAAAGTTGAACTGACCCAACTATATATATATATATATATATATATATTAATATTTAGTATTTTAAATTATATTTTTTAATATGGGAAAATGAGAAAATTCCCTTATTTCCTAGTTTAAAATATTTTATATTGTAATTTTTATTTTTTTAATTTACTTTTTAATAATACCATTACAATTGTTTAAATTTAAATTTAATTTTGTGAATTTAAAATTTTTGAATTGATCGACCAAATTGAAAGTTGACCAAAATAAATACAACCTGAGTTGGACGGTTTTTATCATTGGTTGGTTAATTTCGGGTGACTAGCTCCCCAACCTAACCATGTTGGTTCAATTGGCCAAATAACCTAGAACCAAACCGACCCTACCCACGAACACCCCTATTTTTTGGGACATACCTAGTTGGGCTTTCTTAAGGGAGTTTAGATTTGGTCCCAATGGCCATTGCAACTATGCATGGTAAAATCTCCTTTGTCCTCACAAAATTTATAGATGTGCTCTCAAGCTTTATTTTTACCTACGTCCATGTACACTTTGTATATATAATCACCATCAAATTAATCACCCCAAAGTGAAAAAAAGGCTCCCATCCTTGACATAGAAATGTTTAATAGTTGTTGTAAGACAAGTTTTTTTTTTGGTATTAATCACTGACTAACACTTCCATAGGGGTTGTTACTCTTTTAAGTGAACAATACAACATCACATCAACAACTCTTTTCTTACAGAAATGATAATAACAGGATTCAAAACCGCACCATAGCTGAGACAATTCATCCAGCCCACCAATTGGGTTACCCCTTAGTTGGTAGATGAGTTCGGATATACTAGAAACAAGATGTATAAGGTGGGCTTATACACCCAATGAGAGATGTCAAGAACTTTTGATAATAGTATGGATTGCTAATGTGCATGCATAGTTCTGATTGGGTGTTCTTATTCTCATATTACACATCTTGTTTCTAGCATATTATTTAGAGTTCGATGAGTAAGGCTACAATTCAAATAGATTCTAATTGAATTAAAATTTGAATATGATCCTGGATTTGGATATCTATTTGGAAATAAAAAAATCGAACCACATTAAAAAACTTGATCCGTTAAATAATTGATTGAATTTAGATATGACATCTATTAAAATCTGATTCAAGATGTAAGAACATGTGCCATATGTTGGGGGTTTAAAACGTTTGTAAATAGTGTGCAAATCAGTAATGTAAGATGCAAAAGAGAGATAAACAACAATGTCTAATGATGTAAATAATAAAAAACAAAAGATCAATGACACATTAGAAATTCTAATGCAAAACTTCCTCAATTTAAGGGTAAAATTTACAAAACCGTATCCAAAAATACTTGCACTATCACCAAGATTAATGTGGTTACAACTTCTTTATATTCAGTTAAAGAATAATAACTTTAAGAAACAATGACCTCTTCTTGATAACAAAACAATTACCAAATAAGATGTGTATTTCAATCAACAAAATATGACACAGATCTCACCAAATGAAATTGTCAAAATCCTCTTCAAAACCATCATTAAAGAGCCAAAAAACCCACAACTAG